CCTCACATCTGTCTGACACTAATGGCTCGAACTCAAAATCAAGTTCATATCTAAATAGGATTCTTCGTTAGCATTCAACTAAAATTCTAGTAACATAGGGATAATCCTCTAGAGAAGAGCTAATGCAGGGCATCCTCCGGGGATTTTTCTCATCTCACCGATAACTACCTTATGCAGAAAGGCTCAACTCAAAACCGAATTATCATTTCCACGCGCAACCTCATTAGATGTAAATACCTTGGAAGATTCGTACGAAACCATTTGTACGAAACCTTTTGAACATCATTTTGGAAAGGTTTTGTACTGAACCTTTTCTACGAAACCTTTTTGGCTTTTTCCTTTAAAGGTTTGGTACTGAACCTTTTGTGCGAAACCTTTTAGACTTTTCCGGTAAAGGTTTCGTACTGAACCTTGTGTACGGAACCATTTTTCCCATTCATCAAGAAGAAGTTTCATACGAAACCTTTTTTTTGCGAAACCAAGGAAGGTTCGGACGGTGTGCCCGCGTCCCGATCCTTTTTTGGTTTCGTAAAATACCCTTTTCTTTTTTTTACAGTGCACAAGCACATCCACAGCCACACTCACACTGACACTCACACTCACACTCACACTCACACCCACACCCATACCCACCCCCACCCACACCCACACCCATACGCCCATCCACACACCCACACGCAGACCCACACACCCACACCCTTCTACGATGCGTTGGCGCTGAACTCTGAGAACTCTAGAAACTCTTGGAACCCATGCAACTCTATGAATACTAGGATTCGTATTTCTTTCTCACTATTTCATTTACTCACATCCCGGCCTTTAGTCATGCGGTAAATGGAACATTTGTATCGATAAGGTTGCAGTTTTGATTGAAAAAGCTTTCAATGAAGTGTTTGTAAGATTAATAGGTCAAAAGCACTGGACTCGCTGCAATCTAGAGCGCAGCAATTTTAGAAGACCACTAACAACATTCAACATTGATGATGAGTCTTTCACACAACGGCCATGATCTATGCGATAGATCAAAGAGCAATTTATTTCTTTAACAGTTCCTTTTGAATCGTATTCGCTCAAAAATAAAGTTGAATCAAGTTAAAATTGTTATCGAGAATGCAATCGTTGATAAATATGGCGAAGAGTTTGCCTGAGTTCTTGTTTGTAAATTTTCGAGGGTAATATAAATATGACGAAGATAAAAATTGATGGCATAAATGAAATAATATATGCAACGAAGAAAAGCCAAGGATCACGAGGAGAGTTCATACAAGCGGGTAAGAATGACAAAATTAAGCGTGATATAGCAAGTGCAGTCAAAATACAAGGAGAAACTATGATATGTTGATGTCGACGAAGTTGTTTGAAAAGATATTGTTTATAGGTTTCTTCTTTACAAACAGATGCTTTCTGTCGAGCAGCAGTGATAATAATGATCGAAGCGGAAATTAAATTCATTGCAAATGGTACAGTAACATGAAAAATAAGCACAACTGAATTCAAAATTCGATAGAAACTATCATATACTGTTATGCACCATGTTCGTTGTTCTTCATTATCATATAATAGATCATGATAAAATGGATCGTGTATATGTGTTAAGACTGTGATAGAGCAAACAATTAGAATAATCCATGGAGCTAATTGGCGACTTCTGTTTTTATTGAAAAAAACTCCTTTGTATGACATAAAAGCTCGTTCGACTGCTACGCATGCACTGAGCCAATCGCCTGTACTCGAGCAAACACGTAGAAGAAAGTCGACTGAATGACAGTTGAATATAAGAAGTGGTCGCTGAACAATGATTGCCATTTGCGAAAAAACAAGTAACCAAAATTTGACCATTAAAAAAATAGTAGTAAGAAGAGAAACACTCGCATTAGTAAATAAATACAAACCACAACCGACTGCATGCACTTTCTTTGAATGAAAAGTCAATATGGAGAGAATGTTTCCAGACAGACCAACTATTATCATGATTGTTACCAACAATGCACTTATTTTAACAACTAATGGTTGATGCAGAAACGGAACATTTGATTGAATTTGATAGTCAAGAATAGCGTCGAGAGAAAGACCGAAACCTTGTGTTGTAAATTGACAATATTGTCCATAAAAACATTCTGCACAGACGCACTTAACTGTTGTTGGACAAATCAATTTATCCTGAAAGCATCGCGCTCCATTAAGACAACCACCATTACTTGTTCCTAGGCATTTGTTCATCTCATCGTAATTAGCTACGAAACATTCAGCTTCACGACTTCCATATGTATCTATACAATAGCACATATATTTTTCGTCATAAAAACAAGCTAAATTCCATCGTTGTTGGCATGGCAATTGGTAGTATTTGATGCGTCGAAGTAGATGAAGAGAAAGCAATGTTCTATTCAGTAGTTCACGAATATGTAGACAATGGCGGGACGGGTGAATTATCATTGAAATCGTTGTTCGATTATTTTCCTTTATCGATGAATTAGCATCACGGAACGTATGGGTCAAATAGTAGTTATTCATAGACAGTGCAACAAATGTTACCAAGAAACTATTGGAAGTATAAAGTATAACTGAGTTTTGATCGAACGGAACCTTTTTGAACATTGAAACAGCTTTGTTGGTAATCGTTATTTTAGGTTGTATCAGATAAACAAGAATCGATTCCGGAATTTTTATATCTGAATGAAATGAAATTTGAATTCTCTTGTACAATAAGTCACAATATACACCGAAAAAACCTTCAGGGCATAAGCAAGAAATCATATTTTTTTCGTCACGCATATCCAATGGTATACACAAACCACCATTCTGACAAGCATTTAACGACGATGAACATGCAATTGACTTAATATAGCATCGAGGTCCGTGTTTCCCAAGAGGACACACACAAATGTTCTGATTTACACACAATGAATCATGTGCACAAAGATGGCATCTATCATGTCGTACAGTACAATGTTTACCTGACCATCCAGGATAACATCGGCAGTAAAATGATAAATTGTCATTATTACCATTCATATATTTCACACATTCACCATTATAATTACATGCAAACGAACATCGTACAGGTCGATTAGGTGAAACAGTAATTCTGAGTGCCATACGATGAACAGGAAGAAATGTATATGCTAAAGGAAATAACCAACTACCACGATATTCCAATGATTGTTTATCATGAACATGTATTTGAATACTATAATTCTTCGTAGTATCCTTTGGTCGTGAACGATAGAGAAGATAAATATTGAAATTAACAAAGTAACAATATGATGTTTGTGCATACAGTATTTGATCATGAGATTCAACCGTACCTTGATCATTGACTAACATAATGACGACATTGAGAACTTTTCGCCATTCCGCATCGTTTTCAATTTTTAATGTAAGACTAACTCGTTGATTCTGATATTGGCATAAGTGACCGTAATAACTTGGTGGACAGAGACATCGCCGTTTCTCTTGGCCATCATAGAACCAGATTGATAGGCCTCGATGACAATAAAATGAGTTGTTATATATCATATCTAATTTTTTTTTCTTTCTTTTGGATTCAAATTTAGTCGGAAGGGATACTCGATTTTCTATGCTAGTCATTTCCAGATTCGAATCAACTAAGAAATAACTGTAGTATCGTCGTTTGTAAATGTTGGACAGATAACATTTAAGTGTTCGACCGTCTTTGCTAGAATCATTATTACAGTAGAACAATCGATGAGCTAAATGTATGGGCCATCGACTATTATCATTTATGTATCCAGTCAACAAACCACATACTAATGGCACGGACAAAAACTGATCTTTAGTCCAACAATCCAAATAAGTTTTGATTATCGAGTTGTTCACACACAGCTGATCTTGAAATGCATTACGTGTTAGCCAACAGCTTTCGGAGTCACCACAATGGGCAAATAAGCAGGCACCTTCGTAATCACTCCTTAGAATACATAGATAATCGATCGAACGGCACGCCATATTACTCGAACAATGTCTTTCGTCCAGACCATTTGGACAATTCCATATACGGTTACATCTCGTGTAAACATTATTACAAGACCAAAATTCACATTCAGTCTCATCAGTTTCATTATGGCCAGCGATTTCAATTGGTATTAGTTCTCGAAAACCATCACATATGCTCGGCCATGAAATCTCCTTCTGACTCCGATTATCAGTTAGAGCAGAGTTACTTTCATCTTCATTGAATTTGCAGTCTTGATAACCATCATTGATAAGTATAGGTGAAATACATTTATTTTCGTTCTCTGAACATCGAAAACGGAAATTGTCGTGTACTGAACAGCTATCAATCAACATTTCGTCATCGTTACCGATGCAATCTTGAATTCCATCAACAAGACGACGTCTCGGAATACATTTCGATGAGTTAGCACACCGATAAAGGGTTAAATCATGACACTGACTAGTACTTGACATTGAGCATTCGTTAAGAAAATAGTCTTCAACCATAGTAATAAGTTTTGAAAACTTAGGCGCATATACATATTTAAAACCGAATTTTTCAAATCGAACACATGAGTTTCCATATTGAACGAAAGTCAAGTTCACCGAAGGAAGAGCAATACTGCACTGCTGTGGATCGTAGCAAATGTAAGAGGGTAAAATTTCATCTTGTTCTTCATCTGCACTCGTCTTCGAATAGACAAAGAATATGTGACTTAATACAACAAAGTTATCTGGAAAACGAAAAATTGGTTTGCAATAGGTCTTAACATTGATTGCGCATTGAAAATAGCAATATAAAGCGCATGATTCATCACCAATGTATTCTGTCATTTGTGTGAGACATAACATCCAATTCCAGCATGATTGCGACGTATTCAACGATATCCATTCGGTTCTATCTACATTCCCACGTTTGTTCTTGCATTTACGTAAATCATTCACACATTCTCCATCACCACAGTTTAATTTTGCTTCGCCCCGTCCAGGATGGCATGTATGCTCTTCGCATCGAAATGCAGGATCTTTAAAACAGTTTTTCCAATACTCCGCATCATGTCTCTCATCAGTTCGATCAATACAATCGGGATTGAAGAGACCATTGCGATAAAAACTCATCGGAATGTTTTGCATGCCATTATGACATAAAAATTCATTTTCATCATTTATAAATACATTAGAATTTTCAAGTTGCCAACAATTTTCTTCGTCTATCCCGTTGTAAAGACAATCGATTTTTCCGTCACAAATTTCACGCCAATCGAGACAGAGCGCCGATGGACCGCGCTTGCACTAAAATACAGATATAAGCGAGCACGAACGAAAGATGTTTTTGGTTTTGAAGTAATTAATTATAACATATGATTGGGAAGACAAACAAAAGTAAGTGAAACTTTTCTAATGAATGAATTAATTATCAGCAAGGTTTACAACACAAATCTTGGATATATAAATAATAACATCTGTTAAAATCTTGTATCGAAACTCTAAATCGCTATTGTGCCTATGGGGATTATATATGTTAAAACCGTTAACATGATTAGTTTGATCGGACTTCTCCAGAGTTTTGGATATATTTAACTAATCTAATGTGGGTATGAATATGGTGGTGAATGATGATAAAACTACACTCGTTTAAGTTGATTTGATGGAGAGTATATGCGAGCTTTGTGTAAAATTTTGCTTTGCTTGCAACAAATGTTATTTGACTTAAATTTTTACACTGATTTTAGCCATGATATTCGTTGCGTGTGATAAAAACCTTTCAAGGCGAAAATGATAAATATCGTAAACCTTCTATAGATTTACATAGACTTTTCTTCATTGAACTAGTGCGATAAAAAAAGGAACTCAAGACAGACATTCTCCAAAGACTTATTTGTATCATTTGGTAGCTTTCGAGTCACTCTATTAGCAGCCAGAAGTCAGTTTCGAGTCTGAATCCAGCTGCGAGTATTGAAGGATCAGAATATGTCTAAATAGCTCATAAACTATGTCATGCTGATAATGTACATAACTGACTATTTCGAACATTTGATTTTTAGCTTGGCCAATCACACGGTTGATGCGGAATTCGATGCTCTGGCGAATGGTATAAGAACGAATTTTTGGATATTGTGTACATCCTTTGAAAAATGTGAATTTTTTATCTCGCCCTTATATAGCTCAATGTCATGAAAACATATTTTGTGCATTAGTTATATCAAGGAACGATTCGATATTCAAGTTGAAACTTATATATATGACTACTTGTGCTATAGTATACATTCCCTGAGACTTTGCGGTCAATCTGCTAACATTTCCTGATTGGATCGAAATGTCATTAAAAAGTGCCCTGTTGTTCTTTCATTAATAAAACAAACTACATTGAATTAAAGTCTAACCGTGCTAATCGAAGCCCATCTTTCTGTGCATCGATCTTTTTCCAATTTAGTTTTCCTTATATACACAAAAATTGATCATACCTCCAATAGTTTGTAGCAAGGAACCCACTGGGGAGAAAAAATAGTTTTGTATTGGAATGAATCGTAGACTATGTCTGCTACTGTTATTTCGCTTTTTATTTGACGAAATGAATATTCGCACGCGTTACCAAACCAATATCCTGTGCAATTATAATAAAAGTCAGAACCATTTGCTTTCCAATCACCGACCAAATAGGCTTCATAGAGCTCAACAAGCTCGATTGTTGCGGCCCATTCAAGCAAATGTGTTCCTGTTATGTTTTGACTTTTAAGATCATTGAAAGTAAAACGACGACCCTTGATAAATTGTTCAGAAGGAATCGTCTTTGATTGTTCACTTGGGTTATCTAATCGCACACAGTAGGCAATAAACTGATAAGCCAGTGTTTCCATATCAAGATATGAGACAATATCATCGTTCACATAGTAGTCAAGACAATCATAGTGAAGTGATGTCGGATCATTATATTGATCAGTGTGATATAGATTCACAGCATATATCGGTGACAAGAAAAAAAGAATGTCAAGAAGTATCAAGTGATAACGACAAAGTGACTGAATCATTGCTGATTTTTTCACGAGAAGATTCGGCTGAAATATCTGATTGGTCCTTTTTAATCACTCAACTTATTTATCGTACAAACAAAGTTTATTCAATAGTATATAATACAGAAAACAAGTTCCAGTAAAATCTATAAATTGCTGAAATTTGAAAATAGATAGAATTCTTGAAAATAACGAACAAACACGCTTTTCATGCTGATAATGGTCTTTGCAAGAAACAATAAATAGATTCGAGTAAAAAACCTTTCTCTTGATGAGATATTCTCTAGATACCGTCTCATGCTGGGGATCTATTGTAGGAAGCGACTATGTGCACTCAAGTACGAATCATTGAAAAGAACTTAGCGAATAGCAACTCATGTTCAAGTGTCTGGAGGCTTCGCTTGCGCAGATGCTCACGGCTGGAACTATTAGAAGCATTTTGATGGATATTAGGAGCCCTTCTGGAGATACTGGGGAAAAGCCTGAAGATTATATCCGCAATCCATTGAAAACAGAAGCATGTCTAGGGTTGTTAGAAGCACATCTCGGGATTCTAGGAGCATTCTTCACGATGCAAGAAGCATGTATAAGAATACTAAAAGCTTGCCTCGAGATGCAAAAGGCATGCGTAGAGTCACTCCTAGGGTCCCTAGATATGTTTCTAGCAGCCCTAGACATGCTCCCGTTCTCCATTGATTGCTGATAGAATTTTTGGGCTTTTCCCAAGTACCTGCAGAGGGCTCCTAATGTCCATAGGAATGCTTCTAATAGCACCAGTCGTGAGAACCTGTGCAAGCAAAGCTTCCAGATACTTGAACATGAGTCACTATTCGCTAAGTTCTTTTCAATGATTCGTACCTGAGTGCACATATCCAATTCCTTTATTATTCTGCCAAAAGTTAATGGTTTCTATGATTGATGAAATATAGTGAGTTTATCTTTGGATACTACTAACTTTCACAATTCATGTATGGACCATTGATCATACTCAAATGCTTCGAATTTCTAAAGAAAACTGTTTCATGCTACATAGAATATCATTTTGGATCTGAGTTAAGTTGAAGCATTGCGCTCTCCTAAACAAGATCAAGTATTCGCATTTCAAATATCTATAATTTTCACTGTAATGAATACGATGTATCTGCACTGCAATATTGTAGGAGTTCTGAAAACAAGATACTGGGAATCGTTCAACAGAAATACGAGAACACGATTAGAAAAAGCGATATAGAAATGATAATAAGCAAGAATCCTTGCAAGAATAAATATCAAAAATATAAAGTTTGTTAACAACTCAAAACATGAACTTGGTCAATGACTAGGATTTATATAAGGGGAAAAATGATTTTTCTATTTTAC